ATCCAAGATCTAATGGAGCTACTGAAAGGGCTGTGCAATCCGCTGTGAAAACCATAAAAAAGAAAATAAATGGAAATATTGCTGACTGGGATATAATGGTCGCGTCTACACAGTTGGAATTAAATTGCAAGTATAACAGTCGAACTAAAAGTACACCATTCTCGTTAATGTTCGGAAGGAATCCAAATGACTTTACAGATTATAAAAAGGAAACGGATAAAATAACCACGGAAAGAACAAATAAGGAATTACATAACAAAATAAAACTCATGAGAGAAATAGTGTACCCTGCAATCTATGAGCAGACAAAGAAAGTCACTGATAAACAAAAGGAAAAGTTTGATGCAAGCCACAAGTTAATTGACATTCCAGTTGGTGCAACAGTAATGATCTTAATTCAAGAAAAGCAAAATAAGCTATATCCTAACGATGAAGGATATTACACTGTTGTAAGAAAAACTTCTGCTGGCACATATGTATTAAGAAATGAAAAAGGATTTATTGAGCCTAGGAACTTTCCACCTTCAAACCTAAAAATTGTCTCCGATAAAATTATCCCTCAGGAACAATACTTCGAAGTGGAAGCCATAATAGGACATCGTAGAGATGATAATAATAAGCTGCAATATAGATGCAGATGGTTAGGTTACAATGAAGCTGATGATACTTGGGAACCTGAGGAAAACTTTACTGATCCAAAGTTCATCTCTGATTATTACAGAAGAATAGGTGAAGCCCCTGAGAGTATCAAAGCCATTAATAAAGCCAATAAACGTAAGTTGAATGAGATGAAGGATTTAAATCACAAAGTAAGCTCTCGCCCGGTAAAGAAAAATAAATCGACTAAAAATAAGAATGATCGTCAAAACTCTAAATAAAGAACAATTAAAAGATCTTCATAATTTTGTCGGTATTAGTCAATACCTGGGTGGGGATAATGTGGTGATCCACCTACTATTGTTACTAATCACACCATAAAACAATATTAAAATTAAATCTCACTTCATCACCCCATACATTATTACATCACAACACGAACTAATCTCTTATACATTATATCATATCCAACTACAAGCACTATTTTAGTGCTGTGTAACTTATCCATCAAACTAAATTCATAATCCGATTTCTCTTAACATATATAAATATGCAAACTGATAGTTAGAATAGAACCCTCTCAATCTTTTAATCTACTTTCACTCTTAATAAAACTTATAAGCAGTCTCAAAGTATTTTATTGTTTTTCTTTATCTATCTCTATCCTCGACTATCACAATAACCATGCTGTAATATCATGGAGCATCTTAGGCCACCAAAATCTGGATTTCATAAGCTGGTAAACAGTTGCTTTTCCTTGGTGTCCGAACCCTCGATGAAAGTCTTCTACTAGGTCCAGTCTTCGTTTAAATGGAATAAATTTAACTAATTTGTCTTCCTTGTGATTGTCTGATGGTTTGATTTTCTTCCAAACGTGTTGATTTTGAACCATGAAATCCGCTTTGCAAATCTAACGTGGTGAAGAAATTACTACCGTGTAACATTGATAAACATTCATCAATACGTGGTATTGGAATACGATGACTGATACTGTGCTTATTGATTGCTCTAAAATCACAAACCATTCTCAATTTCTTGTCGTCCACCCGTTTTACAAACAATACCGGTGACCCGTACGGTGAAGACGTTGGCTCAATCAATCCTTGTTTCAAAAGTATGTCCAGCTGTCTTCTTAATTCTTGGAGTTCAACGGGACTCATTCGATACGGAGGCCTAGATTCTGGTATAGCTCCTGGCTTGAATTTGATCATGTCCTCGACCGTGTCTCTCAAAGGAGGCAGACTGTCTATGACACCCTTGAATACTCCCGGATACTTTACTGCAAACTCGTTACACCATTCCTTATCACTATTTTCTAAGTTTTGATGATTAGTTGTTTTATGTAATGGTAACTTATCATCCACTAGCACTAATAAATCCTCTGTTTCCTGGTAAATTGTCGAAACATCAATGAGATAACATTCATCTACTTTTTTCTTTTTAAACAACTGGTCTAATTGTTTTGCAGATAGTAAAAAATCAAGATCCTCCAATTGCCGTTGACTATTCTCAGTGTTTGCCTCGATGGAATTGATTGGAACTACTTTTGGTGACACCAATGATTTACTAATCAAATGATCTGGTAATGGATAGATCATTGTTGTTTGTGTGGGGTCATTGCGAATTCGAATTCTCCACGTTCCATTAAACCAATCTGGAATAGGTTGGACCTGTGAAAGCCATGATCTACCTAAAATTACATCAAATTTGGTGTCGAATACATATGCTTGAATGCGATCTGTATATCCATTTAAAGCGATTGAAAATGCTGCTATTTTGTTGATATATGTTTGCTGCCCATTTGCTGTCTCAACGGATTGTCCTTGTTTAGCTGGAACAATTGTGGATACAAAAGGTAACATATCGGAATGAACATAATTTGCACTCGCACCTGAATCGATAAGTACTTTGCATGGATGACCGTTGATTAAAATTTTATATAACGGTAACTTGTAGTGAATATTATTAGCGTTCATTAAAAAGTCAATGTCCTGTTTCATTATCTTGTGGTCTACGCTTAATGGTTTAATATATGCCGAAGATGATGGTAATACACTGTACAATAGTAAAGACGAGTTAGAATATGATGATGAAGAATTTGCTTGGATTTTATTTCTCTGATCATTTTGTGCACTAGCTTTATTCACATTGTTAGGCACGGGTTGTTGATTTTCAGTTTCATTATAATCGTCCTCATAATAATTATCATATTCTGAGTTAATATAAAAAGATTCTTGTTGCTGTTGCTGAGGACAGTTGAATTGGAGATGTCCAAATTGTCCACAGTTCCAACAATCACGATTCTCTACTCTTGGATGTTGTTGCGTAGGATAAGCATAATTTTCCCTCGATCCTCCCCGATAACCACCACGGGTACCTCGATAACCACCACGATAATCCCCACGAAAACCACCAGCACCGCCATAACCTCCTCGACCGCCTCTCGAGCCTCTAAATCCACCTCTAGGTGAACCACCACGACCACCACGCCAAGTACCACGACCACGATTATTCCCGTAATTGTTTTGAACAAAATTTAATACTTCACGAAGAGCGGATAGATCCATAGGATCGTCCACCATATCTGTCTCGTTAGTAGAATTGTTTCTGATACCTGGTAGTTGAAATTGCACATTTTCAATACGAGAGGATTCAAACATTTGAGCAGTTTGTATTGCTTCGTTAAGAGTTGGAGGGCATTCGTTTCGATATAATCCTCGAATCTGCGCACGAACATCCTTGTTTTTGAGTCCGCGAGTAAACTTATCAACAGCTTCGTCATCACTCATACGGGGAATTCCAAGCCTGATTGTCAGAAATTCATTTATGTAAGTACTAATTGTTGTCTTTTGTACTAAAGAGTGTAACTGTTCACGTAGTTGTACGATTGTGTTGGTAGGACGAAATTGCTGAATGATTGATGATTTGAGGGATGGCCAAGTTGAAATCTCGTTGTTACCTAAATCATTTACGTTGCGTAACCATATGGCTGCCATGTCTACCAGTAGTGTTTTTGCGAAACGGTATGTTTTTTCGTCATCCCAATCACGAAATAATTGGTAATCTTCAACAGAAGATATCCAATTGTCAATTTTAAATCGATCCCTCTCACCATTATATTTGGGAGGTTTGGTGTAGAAATTTTTATCCTCGTGGTTAACATTATTATTTTGCTCTAAAGCACGAGCTATGCCTTGTTGAATTGCGTCTGCAATTATCTGTCCCATTGCTGTTTGATTGCTGGCCTCTGTCATTGTATCTTGTTCACTGCTATTATCTGTTGATTTTGAGAATTCTTCTGTAAACTCTTTAATTAATCTATTTGCTATTCTCGACCAATACTTTTCTCTGGCGAAGGTTGTTGGTATTCTTGTTTGAATGCTGCTGCTGGATGTTTCTCTTAATGCTTGATATTGGTTGCGATATTGAACAGGTAGTCCTAACTGCACACGTTCTTCAATTTCAAATTTGTTTTGATAATGACTATGTGATTCCCTAAATTTTTGTTTGACCTGTTACTTGCTGATTGAACTCGTATAACTTTATACGTCGTTCACTTCCAATACTGTTAATAAAAAAAAAAACTGGTGCTACCAGATGTCGGGTCTGATCTTGTATTAAGTAAGATATATACGAGAGTGGAGTAGTAGATAAAAGATGGTCTTTATTGTTTTGTATGATTAAGAAATATATATATGTATCTGAATTGTACTCCGACACTACTACTCCACTCTCGCATATATTGTTACAATGCGGATTTTCAATATGTAATAATTGACTTCAACACTAAAAACTTTACTCAGACAATTTATATTTTTCATGCTAACTTTTAGCATTGTACTTCTCTAACTTGAATCCTTACCTTTTTATATTTAAAACCTTTTGACAAATTTATTATTATTATCATTTATCCGAAATCAAGGGTATCGTTACCGATCCTTTGATTTCTCAAAAACTATATAAACCTTAAAACAAAACATATTTCAATAAACATTCAGATTTTACTATATACTTTTATCATAAACTTGCCTATCAAATATTATATCTTCTATATATAATTGGCCCATTATCTTACTGTCTCCCTAGAAAAACCGAAGCCTTAGTCTCTTTTTCTCTGTATCTGTCTATTAAGACCTTTTATTTTATTTTACTTAACTGGATCGTTACCATATATATTTATTATATATTTATATAAAACAACGTGGTGCTCACTTAGAACTGAATAATTAACTACAAACGTATATTATTCCCCTTCTACCTTACTGTCAAACTAAATCTATACCAATCACTACCACTCACATTGTATCAAGTGGTGCTCACTAACAGGGTTTCTCTTATTTCTATTTCTCTTATTGGTAAATCTCTTATTTCTGCTGCTCTTATTAAAATCAAATTTTAATACCATGGCCTCTACCTCTGCTTCTCTCGAACAAACTGTGTTGGACAATCACTCCATGCCTACTAACTGGTCTGCTAATAAGCCTAAAATTATTGAATTTTATGGTTTCGAAGGTGAAGACTTTCGTTACTTCCGCTCTGTACTAGAAACTTTTTTCTCTCTTACTGGTATTACCCAAGACCTTCGACGTGTTAATGTCTTACGTACCCAACTCCGTCGCTCTGCTGGTGTTTTCTTTGACAAGTACTTGGAAAAGCATGATCTCACTGTTGGTAAGATATCCTACAAAGAAGCCATCCAAATATTGCAAGAACATTATATCACGGAACAAATTATTCAAAACTATGAATTGGCGTTTAATGAAATGCAACAATCTCCTGGTGAATCTCCCCAAGTTTTTCTTTCTCGAATTATATGAAGCTGCTGATCTCGCGGATATTCAAGAAGAAAAATTAATACACTCTCGTTTCCGTGCTGGTTTGCTCCCGGCGCTCAAGACTTTCTGTCGTGAACAATCCTGCAAGTTCTTTTGACCAATGGGTTAAACACTGCTGATGGTTGGTGGAATGCCCATGCTCCTACTTCGATAAACTTGGTCGAAAATCCTTTTGTCTCCACGCCCAATTATTCTTATTCTACTACTGGTATTCCTCAAAGTAACAAGTCTGAAAATGAAAAATCTGTAAGGTTTCTAAATGATAGGGTTAGTACTTTGAAAAATATTGATGGCAAAACACATAAATCAAACACAAAGGCGTATGCTAGTGAAGAGTCACCTACTATGACAGCTTTGACTGCCAAGTTGGAGGCACTTGATCTTCATCAGTTGATACCTTTGATTGATTCAAATGAAACTACCCATGAAAATATTAAACAAAGTATGACCGAATCATGGAAAACCGATAAAGGTTTGAAAACTTTTATCAAGAACATCGTACAAGAAGTGGTGGAGAAACGATGTAAAAGAAGACGCTTATAACAACTACTCTGACAATAAAAGATATCATTCAAAAAAACCTTATAGAAGAAATTCTTATTAAAAGGACGATTATTATTTTGACAATGATGCTGCTAGTCCTGCTGAAGGTTACTACCTTTCTCGTCGCCAATATGAACAACAACAACAAGATAACCGGCCTCGCAATAATTATAATAATGGGTATAATTACAATCGTAATTCGTATAATCAATCAGGAAGACAACCTTCTTACAATAGCTCGGGTTCGTATAATTATAACGACAACGCTCATCAGTCAATCTACGGGAAAATATAATTCTCAACCTTATAATGGATACCAAAACTCACATGGTCCTTCTTCGAATCAAAACGCTTATTCTCATAATAATAACAGTAATCCTCAATCTTACCGTAATAAGGATAACTCACGACAAAATAACAATTACCAAAATGGACCCCAACCGTCAAAAAACTAAATGAGACAGTTGCTATGCCCAGTCATAGAAATGGTCAATTGTCTGAACAACCCTTTTATCAAAAATCCAATCAACCCAATAACCAACAATTAAATCTTCTTAACAATGATTTGTATGCCGCAAGACTTAGCGCTCCCCCTAAAGTTAATACGGAACCTTTATCTAAACTCACTGAAGACCCAAAATCAAACAAAAAAATTACAAAATCATCTGAAAAAGCCCCACAAAAAAGAACATATAACAAGAAAACCCCTCAAAAAATTAATTTAGAACCAATGGACACCGATGCTTATAATGCACCAGGACCATCCACTTTACTCACTCAACCATATCAGCCCATCGCTCCTAAAGCTCCTACTTTGACAAGTACAGCAATAAATCTTCCCACTAGAGAAAATATTATATATGATATAGATAATGATGGAAACATTGTTAATAATATTAAAAATAATACTACTAAAGCTAGAAGAAAAATTACACCATTGTCTGAAAGAATATCGTATGATATTACGGAAGATGTACTTAACCGAAAAGCTGATATAAATGTAAAAGATCTCTTAATCGCTGCTCCCAGTCTGAAAAAGGATTTAGTCAAGTCTGTCCGCGAAAAGACCAAGAAGACAAGACCTCTCCCGTTGACCCTTGCATTTGCTGAAGATGATGATGTTGATACTACTGCGATATATACGGAAGTGTATATTGGACAGTTTAAAATTAAAGCAATTTTAGATACCGGTAGTGCTAAAACTGTCATGTCGAAAAAATTAGGAGATATTCTCGAACTAAATATTGACACTCCATCAAACTCTGTGTTCACTCTCGGAAACGGAGCGAGACAAGCTGCTCTCGGTTTAATCTACGACGTACCTATTAATTTAGGAGGTAAATTAATTGTCCCTGGATCCATAGAAGTCTTACCTGTGTGCCCGACCCAACTCATAATTGGAAACAACTGGTTAAAACGTGCTAAGGCTAAACTGAAATTAGAAGAAAGAGTAGTTAAAATCGAGTATAAGGGTGATAAAGTAAACGTACCTTTCGTATTTACTAAAGACCATGACAACATCACAAATCTAAAATTTCGTACCACCAAATATTCGTACGCCAATCAAGAAGGAACTGTACCCGATGCATCTATTAATATAGTTAACCCAACTAAAGGAAATGGTGAAAGCGATGATAGCGAGTCTAATATCAGTGATAGCTCTGATGAATCAGATGAATTAATACCTGAATCATCGGATGAAGAATCTGTAGCCGATTTATATATACTTGAAGACACCTATGGCGAAACCTCAAACCGAACAAAGCACGATATTATTTATATGGAAAATAATCCTGACGTCTCTGATAATTATTTAATAAAATTAAACTCTGCCATCTATCTAGCTCCATATTCTAAAACAAGTTTTACCATTAAACCTATGAATCTATCTATATCTCAGATGGAAGAAACTAAATTTATGCTATTTATCACCAATGAAAAACTCCATGACAGAGATTCCACCTGGCAACCCGCATCTTCTTACTTAAAACAATATCATGATGTTATCACTATTTACTTAATAAACAATTCGGATTCTACAATTGAATTGTCAGCCCAAGAAACACTAGGTGAATTGGATGTATTGAGTGTCGAGGACATTGAAGAAATGAACTGTTACAAGGTGCGAAAACATGCTAAAGATGAAGATTTGTTTCATCTCGAAGAGGTACATAACCCTCCGCAAAGTACTATCATAGAATATGAAGAAAAACTATCAAGTAAGATAGATCTTACCCACATACCTGCAACAATCAAGAAATCCTATATTAAAATGATGTATCAATTTGATCACATATTTGACTGGGAAAATGACAAAATTGGAAACATTGATATCATGGAACACACGATAAAATTAAAAACTGATGCCGTACCAAAACGAGTAAGACCATATCGCCTATCACCATTGGAAACCGAAAGTTTAAAGAAGGAACTAGACAAGCTACTTAATTTGGGTATAATAGAAAAGGGAGGTTATTCTGATTGGGCAAGTCCAATCATCATGCTAAAGAAGAAAGATGGTACATATCGTATTGTTGCTGATTTCCGGTATCTGAATACCCAAAGTGAAGTTATGAATTATCCCTTAAGCAACATAGATGAGTTGCTAGATAGCCTCAACAAAGCATATTGGATGTCCACTTTTGATTTGCGTTCGGGCTTTTTCCAAGCCAACATTAGTAAAGAATCGCAACCGTTGACCACTGTCGTTTGCTCCTTGGGAGACTTCTATTTTAAAAAATTACCCATGGGAATAAAAACAAGTCCAAGTGTGTTTTCCCAAATGATGGAGCAATGCTTCCACGAACTTATAAATGATTGTATCATTATCTACCTGGATGACGTGACCTGTTTCACCAATGTTGAAGACCCGGAAAGGCACTTGAACGATTTGCGAAAAACGTTCACGTGTATGGATATGCACGGTATCGTTCTGAACCCCACAAAATGCAACTTCTATCAAGAACGAATCCTTTTCCTAGGATATGTTGTCACCCGCAATTCCATAGAACCAAACCCCGAAACAATCACCAAGGTAAGGGATTTCCCTATACCAACTACCATAAAACAAGTAAGATCCTTTTTGGGCCTCGCCTCCTATTATCGACGATTCGTTCCTCAGTTTGCAAAAATAGCCCGACCATTACACCAACAATTACAAACAACAAAAAAAATCGCGTGGACGGATGAAACAACCAAAGCGTTCAATACATTAAAAGAACTTTTGGTGTCAGAACCCGTATTGTGTAAACCCGACTTTACCAAAAAGTTTTATGTCGTAACCGATGCAAGTAAAGATGGATTAGGTGCTGTGCTTACACAGAAAGATGAAGAAGGATATGAACATCCAGTGGTATATTCCAGTCGCTCCTTGCATGGCTCTGAAATTAACTATGGAATATCCAAGTTGGAACTTCTCGCGGTAGTTTGGGCAGTAAAGTTGTATCGACCTTATTTACTTGGATCAAAATTTACCATCACCATTATTTCGGACCATTCTGCCTTGAACGGCCTATTGAAGTCAAAACAACCCACTGGAATTCTCGCTCGCTGGATAGAAATCTTAGCTGAATATGATTTCGAGATAAAGTATCGACCAGGACGAGTCAACGAAAGTGCTGACTACTTGTCAAGACTAGGCTATTAAAAATCTATAAAAACAATATAAAATATACAAAACCCAAAAACAATATATAATTTACAAAACCCAAAAACAATATATAATTTACAAAACCCAAAAACAATATGAAATATACAAAACCCAAAAACAATATAAAATCTATCAACAAACAAAAAAAAAACAAACATGGTCCAATTTCAGTTCGACGACCCTAAAAGCACAACTTACCCCATAACACTCTTATCCATTAAATTATTTAATTATTCACTCGTATTTAACTATCACTATCATATTATAAACAAAATTCAACTTAAATAAAATTTCGAATATCAATAACAATCCTCATATCTACTTCAGTCCATATCAACAAAAACAGTTTCAACATGAATCAAGAAAAAATTGATGTGTTAAAACAATATTTAACCGAATCAACCTTCCCTGATACATACAGTCAAAAAGAAAAAGACAAAATTAGATCTTGTGCATATAAATTCACTATATACAACAATCAATTATACTTTACTCAACCCTTCGACATAAATTGTTTCAAGAAAGTATTAAATTAAGAAGAAGCCAAACAAGCTTTTATACAATATCACTATCATGCACTCGGTGGACATCTTGCATATGCAAATACTTTCAATAGAATATACCAAAAATATTATTGGGATTCAATGAACAAAGATATACATCGCTACATCAAGAATGCCCTCGTTGCCAAGAACACGGAACCAAGACCATAAATGAAAATGCATATCCAGTACCTGTTCCATCAAACCATTCTTACAGCTAGGGGTTGATATCAAGCATGTAACCACTTCACAGAGGCGGACATAGGTATATCATCGTAGCAATTGATTATCTCACTAA